ACACAGCGAGAATGAAAAAAGGAGGCTTACATCGATCGATAATCGGCTGAACGTTTATTTTCATAATCGGGCGACGAGAGCCAGCAGACAATGTGAAAAAGCTCTTAGATGCCGTGATTGATGAGGGAAAATTTTATTTCGAAAGTGTTTTGTTTGATATCGTAAAGAAGATCGTTGCGTTGGAAGAAATGTTGGAATTTCTGGTATTATGGAAATGGGACGGATGTGCGTGATGGTGATAAGGAAAAAGCGATTGGAATTTTTTATAACCTTGTACCAAGGTTTCTTGGGTTTTTGGAGCGTGGTTTCGTGTAATATCCAATGAAATGGAACTGCTTTTCGAGATAAAAATAATAAAGTTGAACAGGACAATTTATGTATCGTTGGTGTACATAAAAGTTTATGAAAACTAATTGCTAAAATATATATATATTTTTTTTTTAATATACTAATTGAATTTTTGTCAAGTTTTGGATTTTTTTTTTAATTCAATGTTTAAGATCACAGTTCCTGATGATTTTTATGTAATAATTTTTGCAATATTTAGACAACAATATTGCCTATATTACATAAAATGTAATTAACAATTTCAAAAATTTATTTTGAAAAAAACAATTATTCAATCTATTGTTTAAATCCAGATTGAAAATTCAGGAATAATACAGAAACATTTCACAAATATAAAAATAATATTTTGCGCAAATAATGGATTAATATAAAACTCGCAAGAAAAATGTATTTTATGAAAATTCGTGTGAAAAAGAGCATCGATATAAAACGTTCGATAACCTACATTTTTCATATTCATATTTAAAATAAATTTCGTAGAGTGCTTAAATATTTCGTTTAACTGTTTTGCAAATTCACCGATAAAATAAAATATCGTATCGTTGGAAGAAGAATTCGAACTTCGAGAAAGGAATGTGGCATAAAAAAATGAAACATCATGGAATGAAATATTAAGGTACGAAACTGTGTCGTGGAAAGTGGACGTAAAAAAAAAAAGAAAAAATTATCTCCCTTTCAAACGAGATTATCGCGAGTCAAGTGGACTATTTGCCATATTATTACGTCGACATCTGGCAAGATGCTCGAATTGAGATACATGTCATGTTATGTCGAGGAGCTGCTTCAAGTGTGGTGTCGAAACGCTCTTTAGATCACTTATATTTATAAAAGAGCATTAATAAAAACGAGATGTATCCAATTTTAATAGATTATTCGTATAACATGGTATCCAGCATACAAGGTATCACGAGTAAGGTTTTCCTTTTTCTACTTCGAGTATAATACCAAAATTGGGTAAAATAAATTTGAGAAAATCTAAAAGTGGAATCTAAAAATTTCAAAATTCATCGTAATCTTCGTTTTCTTAATCTTTTATCGTTATATAGAATTCAAAACTTCTCGATTCTAAATAAAACGAAAAAGAACTTGTAATACAAAAAGTGAATCGAATATGAATTTCTTATATTCTTAAATATATATTTAATATATTATAAAAAGAATACAATATAATCTACGTAAATATACTCAAACGTAAAAATAATTGCAGAGAAAGTTCTCAAAAATCTCTTTAATTAGAAAGAAAATTCTAAAAATAAGGTTCTTTCGAGAGATTCGTCGTCAATTAAAAAAAATAAATAAATAAATAAAAGGAAAATTTCATTCATAAAAATACCATTCGTCAAAGCATCTCGTCGAATCTCTTATCAAACAAATTTGAGTTTCACGAAGCAAACGATTCATCTATAAATAATACATCTCTGTTCGACAGCAATAATAACGAGGGCTCTGGTATAACGAAGATCTTCGTTAATTTCACCGACTTTCGTCGCGATTCACACGCTTCTTTGTCAACGAAACGAGAACGCCTCGATGATACAGCACAGTGTTGTGGAAACTGGTGAATAAATTGGTTGAGTGGCACGTCTATCTGGATAAATCGCGGGCAACACGTTTATCCCAGATTTCATACGTTTACCCTCCGCCTACGCAAACACGTGATGTCCACAAACACCCGGAAATTCGTTCGACACTCTCCGCTTCGATATTACTCGTCTTCTGCTCGATAACTTCTCCTAAACTTATTCAAAGCGAATCTTTTTTTTTCCCTTTCTTTTGTTTTCGCTATCGTGACGAGAGAAATTCCACTTTTCGAATTTATTTGTCTATACACGGTGTACGAAAACACACTGAAGAGGGTACAAAGGGGATACAAAAGAAAATGAAAAGAGGAGAATATCGTTTTTCGCGAATAACGTTGGAGGAATTTTCATTGCGTGGAATTTTTATTGACAAGTATCGAAGAATTCGAAGATATTTTTTCATCTCAAATTTTCTACGTTTGTTTGCGTCACGTTATCGAGTGTGTAACAATTAAAATTTCATAGAAATGGGCATATAATTATATCAAGTATCTTGGATAGAAGAAGAAAGTTTTTAAATATACGTGAATATTTGATTAATTTTGGGTATAATTAACAAAAGATTATAGTATATCTGAAAATAATACAATATTAATTTGGAAAAATTCAATGATAAAATGTTTCAAAAACAAATATAAGAAGAAAATGATTACTAATTTCCACTCTTATAGTAAAAAAACAGTATAAAAATTTATAATTATTACCCATCAAATATTGCCAAAGATTTGAATAATTGAATTGGATTTCTAGAGAAACGAAATTTTAATGACATTGCCTATTCGAAAAAAATAAAATGACTTTTTAGAGAAAATATCCCTCGCAAGAAATTTAGATTTGAAAAGTTTGAAAAGAGTCAAGATGTATAAAGCGAAGTGCAAGTGACTTACCGTGAGGCACGCATTTCGGGATGGGATGATTCCAACCGTCCGCGGTGCAAGTCAGTATTTTATGGCCCTTCAATCTACGGCCTGGTTCACACGAGTACACGGTCTGTAAAGTACCATCTTTAAGGACTCGTTCCCTCACTCTTCCCCATTGCGGCGCTTGCACCAAGGGACAATCCCCGAGAACTCCTAAAAGTCGAACGAAGCACACCTTTAATCGGTGAGAAACGTGCGAGGTCATGCATATATGAGAATGTATAAAAGATTTGATTTTAATCTTCTGTAACAATTGTTTGTTGATACATATATACGAATGTAGAGTTTCTGTACATGATATTTTCTACAGTTAAAAAATTGAAATTAAAATAATCTGTAAAAGAGATGAAAGAGATTTGATAAAAAGTTATAACAAAAAAAATATGAAACATAAACGCTTTATCTGTTTGTGTTCCAAAGTATCATCTACATTTGTATATTGCAAATTTAATGAATTTTCATAAAAGAAAATATTCGTGTTTCGAAATATTTTCAGATCCTCGTTATTACGTTAACGAATAATTACAATTAATTTCAAAAATTGGATTATTACGTTGTAAACGAATTAGAGGGTGCAATTATTATTTTCAATTCAGCTTGGCAGAATCATTACTCGAAATGGGAAAAGCGAGTTTTTTGCGGTATTTCATAGGTTTGGAACAAAGAGTGGTCAGAGTACACTGAAAATTTAATCTCGACCAGGTATTGGTCGAGCGTGGAAATTAACTCTGCGATTGGTCACCACCCAATCTCGGTTTATAGGAGCAAAAACTAAAATTTAGTTGACCAATGTTTTTTCAACGCGGTAACAAAACTTTTATAATTTAACTTAGATCCTGAATTAAAATTGTTCTTCTTCTTCTGCATTATTCGTTGTAAGGTCTAGGATTATGTAACACTTTAGTCATTTTAATTATGTCATTTTATTATTTACTTTTGATTAGTCAAAATTTTTCTTCCTCACAAATGATCTTTGAGATAATACATTTCATCCCTTCTTTTTCCAACAGATATTCAAGATTATCTTCTATTATATATATATGTATAAAGGATTTAAAAGAAGGATTCCAATCTAATCTGTCCAATCAATATTCGAATGTTAAGTACTTCTAGTCATATTTAATCCCATCTTCAATTTTCTTATTAACTCCTATAATGCTCGACGAATAAGCCCCTTACATACCAATTTCTTACACTTTTGTTTTGGCTCTCCAAAAGTATCCCACAAATATGAATAGAAGAAAATATCGACCATTAATTTCCCATAATAAGCGCCTTATCATCATTATTTTCGTCGTAATGAATCTCATTGCACGATAAACTTAAATATCGAAGAAGCTCGACGTATGAAATGCGAGAAAAAAGGCAGGAACAATTTCACGGTTATAAAATTGCTGGTAGTTTCCGTAGTCGAAGGGCAACATTCCTAATCGGCTCGACGCGAGGAATCTCGTGGCGAGTTACGAGCCACGAGAGCCGAGGTCATGTTCGCCACCGCCAACGATGTCCAGAACGAAACCAGCCTTCGAAGTCGTAACGACTTTCGTTCTGCATGCTGCATTGGTGATTCAGATAAAAAGGATAACATCTTACCGCCTACCGTAAAAAAAAACTTTTCATTTAATAACCTTTCTTTTCGGCCAATACGTTACTCGCCAATTTCTAGGGAATTTTTTTACCGCTCGATCGGTCAGTAAGTTTTCTACGTTTTTGATAGAGATTTTGACAATATGGCGGAATCGGGGAAACCATCATTTCAATCGTAGAAATGGAGAAAAATTGAGGTTGGTTACTAAAATTGATTAAAAGATTTTCACGTGATTTGATTGGATTTTCAGATATTTGTGTGTTTATGAGAAATTTGAAGAAGTAATAACGATATATGATATAAGTAAAATAATTAAAATCACCATATCCTGGCAAAACTATTTCTATACGACGAACTAATAATACCTATATCAGAATCAGTTTCAAAATTCCCCTCCGATATTCGTACGAGGATCCAGCGAGCAATAATAGCACAAACGCTTATTACAATTCTATTACACAACGGGAATTTCATGATTGGGAGGGGAATACGACGAATCCTCGTGTACAAAATGTTAGAACGTTTCCACCTCGGATAGAGAGGGAGGAAGTTTCCGTTTGAAGCATCATCCAGATGGAGAAGGTCTGTCGTTTAATTAATACCTGAACGTTTACATTCCGTAATTAATATCAAGACGCTCTAGAAGGTGCACGGTCAATTCTCTATTCACCGATGTTCCTCAAAGGGCCGGGTGGAAACGTAACCAAACGATGGCGTGTTAATTAAATGAATAGGGCGGCACGATTCGAAAGGGATGAGAGCTGACGATCCAATTGTAGGCATTGACCGGTCTCTGGTATCGTAATACTATGATTAGGAATGGATCTGGCCAACTTGTGAATCCCAGTCGCGTTTGTGCGGGATTCAATTGATAAGGAACAGAATTCTAGCCGAGTTGTGAGTGTTACGCTTGTGAGATGCGAGCGACGAATGATTAATCAGTTGTTGGAACGAGAAGAATAGGGTCAGTTGAATATTATATACTTTTTTTTTTTTTTTTTTTTT